AAAAAAAAATTTTTTTTTTTTTTTTTTTTTTTTTGGTTTTTGGAGACAGGGTCTCACTATGCAGTTGAGACTGGAACTCAATATGTAGCCCAGGCTGGTCTTAAACTCAGAGCCGATGCTCCTGCCTCAGTCTCCCTGAGTGCTGGGATTACAGGCATGCACCACCACGCCCAGCTGAAAAAGAAATATTTAAAAACCAGTTGTTGAGAGACTTTCTACATAATTCCGGGGACAATTAAATTATGATTAGTACTGAGGCCTCAATAGTACTCTGATACTCAAGGGCAAAATTACATCAGCTGAAGACATCCTGGTTGAAAACCAAGCAGTAACATAAAGAGGGAGGGTCAAATTCTTCATCAGCTTAACTCAGTCTACCTACTGTTTTAAAACCATCTCACCATCCTAATCAATTTAAACTCATCACATAAAATCTTCACCATCATAGGATTACCACCACCTCCTGAGACATCTGATACTTCCTATTATAAGATCCTTGTCAATTTAGGATTATCGCTCTCTTCTGAGTCATCTGATACTCACTAGGAACTCCATAAATAGTGGTAAGATTGGGGTGCTTTTGTCTTTTGTTGCCCAGGGCAGCACTATAGGCCCCAAATTCAGGTTCTCTACGCCTCAGTTCTTGTCTTTATTCTTAACAGTTTCATGTGATAGTGGCTCACAGGACACCAGGACCCACTGCAGGGATTCTAGTAACATCCCCTTTTCCATTCCCTATAACCAATGCCACAAGGCAGTGTATTCTGACTGGAACATTTTACATCTAGAGTCCACCTGTCTATTGGTGTCAGACTATATTTCTTTTCTGTTTAAAATACTTCTCTTCCAGTACTATTTTTCTTGCTAAATTACTTCACAAATCCCTATTTAGATTTTGAACTTTAAAATGTTTCTTCAATTTTTATATTTTTCCAAGTTTTCTAAAATGAACACATGGTACTCATAGAGAAGTATCTCATCTATTGTGACATCCTTGTTGGAAATCTCCTATTCCAGGGCTGAGGATTTAGCTCAGTGGTGCGGTTGCCTGCCTCATAAGCACAAGGACCTGAGTTTGATCCCCCGTACCAAAAAAAGAAGAAATCTCCTATTCTGGCTACAGTAGCTTTTTTAACCTCCCATAGCTAATATTTAAATTAAGACTTTTTGGTTTGTTTTTGAGACAAGGTCTCACCATATAATTCAGATTGCTGCCCTGGACCTCACAGCAAACCTCCTGCCTCAGCCTTCTAAGTACTAGGATTATAGGTGTGCACCAACACCCTCACCATGTTTGTTAAGACTTTTATGCTAGTAAATTTTACACCTGGTCAGCCGGGGATTTAGCTCAGTGCTTCTGCTGCCTGCCTTGTAAGTGCAAGAACCCGAGTTCGATCCCAGGTACCAGAAAAAAAATTTTTTTTATACCTGGTCTATCCTCACCCTTTAAACTTTTTGTATCCATCTTTTCCTTTCAAGTAATTCAAGTCTCAATCTCATCACTCCATTTCTATATGTAATACAAAATCCCTCTGTGGTGACCTGCCCAAGACTTTCTGGGCTCATTCTCCCTCTTCCTGTCTTGACAGTTAATTCAGAGGGAAAGTCTAAAAATGATTTCCGCTTTGAACAGTGTTACTCTTATCCAACCCAAGTTCTTTACATCCGATTGCAAGGCTGAATTTCCACTTACCTGTTAGTACATCATAGATCTTTGCAAATAAAACTTGAGTCACTAAGATTTGATACCTTCATTCTTCATCGCTGGCCCCTCACAATTACATTTTTAAATAGCAAATTTGTAGAATTTTAATTCAAAACTGTGACAACAAATTTCCTATATATAATAAGGTAAGCTTCAAAACCACTTCTAGATTAAAAATAATGTAGCTGCACACAATTAGGTATGCCTGCAATTCCCAGCTACTTGGGAGACTCAGGTAGGAAGATTAAAAGTTTGAGGCCAGCATGGGAAACTAAGCAAGACTTTGTCTCAAAATAAAATTCTAGAAGCTCTGGCGATGTAGATTAGTGGATGAGCTCTTGCCCAGCATGTGTGAAGCCTGGGTTCAATCCCCAAGACTAACACCAATAAACAACAACAACAACAACAAGAATGCCGCAGATGCCTACTTTCTTCTGTCATCTCAGCGCTCGTCGGATCTTCTGTCTTCTTGGAGTAATGTGTTATATTGAAGCCAGTAAGCATACTTAGAAATGAAAGCTCTGCTTCTAAATGTCTAAGATGACTTCTTGGGGCTTTTGAAGATTCCCACCCTGCAGAATCTGCATGGTGTATCTCTTGAAATGATTTTCTAAGAAAGCAAATATCAGAAAGTTATTACAATTACTAACAAATATTTCACTTGACACCCCAATTTCCACAAACCATTCCCATTTTTGTTCTGCTTAATCTCTTCCCATTAAAACTACATAATAATTTTCTCAAAACCAATGTGGCCATTAACACTGTAATCTTTAATGTCAACAAAAAGCAAACATAATCAAATTATGTGGCTATATTTATACACATTAGAAACATCTTTGAAACAAATTAAAACAAGAATACTTTGCAAAATTGAAATGTTAGTTCTCATCCAAGAATTACCAAAGTGAATATCTGATTTCCCAAGATATCTCAAATAATTTTAGGATGTCTTAAAAATAAAAAATGGAATTATCTTTAATTTGTAAAAAAAAAAAAAGTATCACAAAATATTTTTTACAAAGAAGTATCTTAAGAAATCTAAGAATGCAGGGGGTAAAGATTCAAAGGAGTAAGAAATGGCAAAAGTTCTTTCCAGTAATGCATACCCAGACCTCCAATGAGACCAGGTAACTTTATATTGTCCTTGGAAAAAAGAACTTTAGCTAATAATTAGATTATTGTACTTTTTTTGGGGCCGGAGATTTAGCTCAGTGGTACCGCTGCCTGCCTCGCAAGCACAAGGTCCTGAGTTCGATCCCCAGTACTAAAAAATAAATAAATTTTTAAAATTAGATTATTGTACTTTTTGTCATTCATTATTTCCTTCAAATCTATATTTCTGCCATCTTAAAACACTTCTTCCTTGGATTCTGGGGCATTATTATTCTGATTGTCATGTTATATCTTGGGTCCTCCAATATCTGCTTCTTTTCACTAATGTTAGAGGAAATCCCTAATGCTCTTGCCTCTGCTGTCCTAAATATGTATTCCTTTGTTTCAAAGGAGCACTCACTGATTAGCCTCAGCTCTTTTATTTTTTTATTTTTTTTCTTTTTATTGAGTTTATTGAATTTAGTTATACATTTTAGGTATACAGTACAGTTACATTCATTATTGGGATCTTGTACCTTTACATTAGCCTCAGCTTTTTTAAAAAAGAGGAATCAAAGAGCCGGGGATTTAGCTCAGTGGCACAGCACCTGCCTGGCAAGCTTGAGATCCTGAGTTTGATTCCTGGAATAACAACAAAAAAAGATATACCATGTACAGGTACAAACTGCTTATGATGAATGTGATTATTCAGTATATCTAACTTGTACCAATAAAATGAATTTTTAAAAACATGCTAGTAACACCTAAAATACCTACAACGTATCTTTTCTTCCTGCAAGGTAGGATATCCCACAAAATGTTTTCTTCCACTGGCCTGATATCTATAACTACGATCATTCTTTCTGCTCCCTCAAAAGATCTATTTGTAATTCCACTACATTAGGCAAAACCCTTACAGCCTTATATATAATATCCATAGTCACAAGGTCCTGAGTTTGATATCTAGTACAAAAAAAAAATCCATAGGAAATATTTATAGTGAGGATACAAGATCGGGATAAAGTCTGTAACATTCTTTTTCCATTTTGTTTTAATGTTAATTTTTTTTTTTTTTTTTTTTTTTGGTACCATAGATAAAACTCTGGACCTTGCACTCGTGAGGCAGGCAGCGGTACCACTGAACTAAATCCCTGGCCCTATTTTTAAATATTAACATAATTATATTCTATATATCTGAAAGTCTACCATACCCTTTCTTGCATTTTCCATTATGGATGCTAAAAAAATTACTTTAAATACAGAAAGCCAATTTAAAAAAAAAAAACAATGGCAATTGTCAAGCACAAATGATTCCTGCCCAGTAAACACAAAATGTCATAGCAAGCTATGAGTGAAGATTTCAGGTATTTCAACAGAGCAAAGTGGTAAAAGAACCATGTTATCACATTAAAGGATATGGAAAAACTCAAATAGGAATCCATAGTCAGCAGTACAGGATGTTGTTACTGTTCAATAATGGATATATATAGTGTTTCAGTCCAGGATAATGAAAAATTTCTGGAGATGGATAATGGTAATGCTACTCAATAATGTGAATATTGCTAAATCATACACTAAAAATGGTTAAAACAGTAAATTTTATGATATATATTACCACATATACAAGGCAGAAGCTGCATATTCTTATAGAAATTACTTATTTGAGCAAAATATCATTGTTCTATTTCAACTAATGATGTTTGTTTTTTGTTTGTTTGTTTGGTTGGTTTTTTGAGACAGGGTCTCACTATGTAGTTCAGACTGACCTGGAACTCACTATGTAGCCCAGGCTGGTCTCGAACTTGCCACGATCCTCCTGCCTCAGTCTCCCGAGTGCTGGGATTACAGGAGTGCACCACCACGTCCGGCATGATGTTTGAATTATTTGCAGCTAGCTTGAATTTTATTGGTTTGGAGTTTTATTTACAAATCTGTCTGAGCAGCTTAAAAATTTGTCAGAATTAAGAGGTTCAAAAGAATTATTTTCCCCTTTGGTAGGATGGAGGGAGAAAGGGACAAGAAAAAAAGTGAAATGCGAAAAAATGGAAACAAAGCTTTTGTACATGGGGAGGGGAGGGGAGGGGCTTGGGGGGGGAGGAATGGGATAAAATAAAATTTATGAAAAAAGAATATTCCTTTTAAAATGAATCTATACAAGATTTGTTTAAAAGTCAATGATTGCTAATTAGTATTTGTTAAGAAAAAATACTGTTCTAAATGAATTCTGTATATGAACTCATCCTTACAACAATCTGAAAACTTCAATTTTACCAAATATAAAACAAAAACATAGGAGATCACCCAATCAAGATTACTCAGCCAATAGCAACCAAAATTTGAAGGCAGGCAATTTGGCTCCAGAATACGTACACATAAACATAGCTCAATGCTTTAGCTCCAATTTCCCTACCTTCTGTCTATCCAACTATTTAAAGTCACTTAAAAAGTAGCTTGGTACATTAAGTCCCGATCTTCCTTTTTCACCACAGTGAGAAATAACTTCATATTAAACCTAAACAACTCTGACTGACATTTAACATCTCCCATTATCTGTATATTCCTTACTTTCCTAACTTGGTCACTGAGGAGTCCCAGATTATGTAAATAATATCATATACACTGGGCGTGGTGGCGCACGCCTATAATCCCAGCACTCATGAGGCTGAGGCAGGAGGATCCCCGAGTTCGAGACCAGCCTGGCCTACATAGTGAGTTCAAGGTCAGTTTCAACTACATAGTGAAACCCTGTGTCCAAAACCAAACAAACAAAAAAAACAAAATAAGTAAATAAAAAAATACTCTATTATCTGGGCTAATGACATCTTATGGTAAGTAAAAGAAACAATTTTTCCCCATAGTATAATACAATAGGGAAAGAATGTCTTGTTAAAATGCAGATTATCATTCACTAACTCTTGACATGAAGCTGAAGTTTACACTTCTCACAATTCCTAAGTGATTCTAATACAGCTGGTGGCTCACACCCTTCGTAGCAAGGGTCGTTACCACATTTATTCATTTGTGAAGGAGCATACATGTGCCTTGTTAACTGTTGCCCTTTGAACGATTAGTTTTCCGTTTTCCACTCCCTTTAATAATTACAGTTTTCTCTACTTTCATGACCGTACAGAACATCATGCAAGCATTTTTCTTTAAACCTTTTCATCCTTCACATTTCCTACTACTCTTGGACATTTAGCTGAGGAAAATCCCATTCTCTCTTGCACCTATGGCAAATTAGTCTTTTTCTCGTTTCATGGTACTGGAGATTGAATTAAACCCAGGGCGTGGTTTAAACCCAGGCAATCCACCACTGAGCTATATCCCCAGCCCTTTTAAATTTTTATTTATTTATGGTAGTACTGGGGATTGACTCCAGGACCTTCACCCCGTTACAGTTGAATGGGCCAAAAATAGTCCAAGTTCTTGTGTACATCAAGGAAAGAATTGCTAAGTACACCTGTAGTAAGTAGCTACATTAACTGAAGATTGCAGGACAGTAGCAGCAGGAACAGGTAGAAAGGCAAAGGGAAAAAGGCGGAAAGGGAACTAAGGAAGAATAGGAACTCTTAATAACTCAAGCTTCCAGTAGTTAAAGTGTCAGATGCTTCTGACTCCAGGTTCCTCCCATTCTGTTTCTCACAGGTGTCGATGATCTGCCTCCTCGTACATGGTGACTTCGTAAACTTAAACAAGGCTAGTTTATGTTTATAGGTGAATGAAGGAAAGGGAGCGGCTCCCTCAGTTTCCCTATGTCTCACTGTACTGTACTACCCCAATCCCTTTATGTATTTTTTTTTAAATTTTGAGATTAAGTCTTGCTGATTGCCCAGGCTAGGCTTGAATTTGTAATCTTCCTGCTTCAGCCTACAGAGTGGCTGGGATGACAGGCCGCACCACCACTGACTTCAAATTAGTCTTCACTAATATTAAAAAAAAAAAAAAGGATGATTTATGTTTTCAAGTGCCTTGCATGTTTGAGATGATGCATACTTGATACATAATTAACTACTACACACATTTCTCTCCTCTTCAATCAAGGGAAGTGCCTGAACTTGGGACTCAGCTCTTACACCTCCTTTCTGGAAGTTATTTTTCAAATGAAAGTTTACGTTATTATCATAAACGAAAAATCAGTGTCAATTACTGTAGTTAAGTGGCCCACAAAAAACAAAGGCCATGAAACCGAATTATTAAATCCGAATTGGATACAACTGCCTGAGGAAGGCAAAATTTAGTTAAGGGAGGTAGGCCAAACTTTCTCCTGGCCTGTCACCGATTGGAGAAAGAGAACCCGTTAAGAAAACGACTTTCTCTTGGCAGACGAGTTACTGAACTGCGACGCGCTTACAACAGAGCCCCAGACGCAGTGCTTCTAACTCTGGGACCCCGTCAGAAAGAGAATCTGTACTGGCTCAAGACCACATTTTGGGGCGTTCTAGTGTACAACTGTCAGCACCAGGCCTGCAGGGAGTTACATTTCTGTGCTTTGTGGAAAGTCAACCGTCTCGCCCCGGGACACCGCCCACGGGCTACAGCCCACCGGCCACCTACCGGACTCGGGACCCGTCTTCCCAGGGCGCAGGCAGCTGTTCGCAAGCGCGCTGCAGAGCTGCAATCTCCGCCTCCAAGGCTCGCACCTCTGCCCGTTCGGCATCCATCGCCACCCGACCCCCGCCAGAGACGCCACAGCCACCTCCCTCACCCAGTTCCCGGGTCGGCCCTTCAAGCCTCGCGCGCCCTCAGGGCGCGGACCATTACGGAGCTCGAGGGGGGAGGCGACAGCAACGCGTAACCCCAGCGGCCCACAGCAGTCGCCCCCACACTCAGATAATATTCCTGGGCTTTGACGTCGCTACTCTGATTGCCAAGTCTGTTTCTGAACGGTTCCAACTGCTCGAGAATTGGTTCGCTCCAGTCTGAATCCAAAACCCTTGGCCGCTCACCCCCGCGAGCGGACCTGGAGCTTCCCGGATCTTGTAGTGGGGAGCGCTTCTTTATTTTGCTTCCGCTCGCTCGTGTCAGCCTACCCAGTGCAGGAGACCACTGACAAGCAGCCGCAGGTTTCTTCGGTAGAAATTACGGCATTTGGCTTGACTCTTTGGCAGAGGTTGAGGGAAAGTTGGTGCAGACTGGCTTAGTAAAAACGAAATAAACTTTTGAATACTGAGTATGGAAACGGAACCTTGAGAGGCTGGGTTGCAAATGGAGCAGGAAGGAAAAGAGATGGCACCTACTGAGACATGTGATCAGAAGAGAACGGGCAACGCGGCGCAGGCTCGTAGACGGCGTGGTGAGAACAGGGTTCAGGTATGGAGATGAGGCTGTTTGACTTGGCCTCTTTCTCTTCTTCGGGAAGTTAGGGGTGCGTAGGTTGGAGACGGGATCTACCAGGAAAAAGTACAGTTTAGATCTCATCCACACCACTGGAAGTGCATTGGGCCTCTGGATCCTGTTTTGTGACTTCACCGAACCGCTGAGCCAAATCCCCAGCTTTTGTGACTTCACTTAAAGAGTCCGTCAACTACTGGTAAAAGGCAGACTGAGCTGAGCGCCTGCAGGGTGCTAAAGGAGATGAGACATCTGAGGAGTGTCAGACCTCAGTACCTCTGGAAAACTTTTCCTGCATCCCCTATAATCCAATAGCTTTAGTATAGTGCTAACAACTCCAGGATCTGAAATTAGACCCGGATTATCTATAGTACCTATCATATCAGTTGCGCTTTCTGTGCCTGAATAGCACTTTGCAGTTTTATTGCCCCATGATATTGTAATTACAACATTTGTTTACTACTCATATGACGGTGGAGCTCATAGGTGTTTTTCTCCTTTAGCATTAAGTGAAAAAAATGTGGGAACAAATAAACAATAGCCAGGCCTGGTGGTGCAGGAGGCCCCGGGTTCAATCCTCACTACCAAATAAATAAAAACACTCTACAATGTAAATAAATAGATGAAAACAGGTAGTGTATAATAATTGTGTTCACTTAGAGGGAAAACATCTATCAGTACCTGTATCTATATGTGTGTGCTTGTGTAGTTCCATAGTGCATTTAGAAAGAATGTGACTCAGGGCTTGAGTAGTCGCCAGTCATAGTATTGGAAGCAATACAATAGGAAATAAAACATAACACCAGGAGACCAATTTAGCACAGAAGGCTCAGGGTGTTACATTTGAGGACCATGAGAAAGAAATGTTCCATATGCAGGAAATTGTCTTCCCATTAGAACACGCCAGGTATATGACCAGCTTTCATGAAAGCCAACAGAGAAACAAAGCGCCTCTTTGTGGGTGGCCTTAGCCAAGCCATTTCTAAGACAGACCTACAAAATCAGTTCGGCAGATTTGGAGAAGTTTCTGATGTGGAGATCATAACTCGAAAAGATGACCAAGGTAAATTTATAATTTTTCACTGGGTGGTTAAAGGGAAATATAACTCAGGCCAAATATTACAAAATAAAACAACACCAGAGGTGAATGTTAACTCTGAACAATGAAAGTGATATATTATATCTAGAAGCACTATGTATGATACAGAATTTGATCACAATTAATTTCTGAAATAGGAAAATATCAAAAGCATCTGGTTTTGGAAACATCATAATGTTTCCTTAACTGATTACTTGACATCATCTTACTCATTTTCTTTTTTAGAACATTTTGATAATCATGCTTAGAAAAATATAATCTTAGCTGGGTGTTGTTACATACACCTATAATCCCAATATAGGCAGGTAGTCAGGCATGAGTGGTGAGAGCTGATCTCTAGAACTGTTGACCCAGTACACAGTTACTTCTGCACGTGGTCTAGGACTGTTGTGGATTCTCCAGCACTCTGGGAGGCTGAGGCAGGAGGATGGAAGGTTCAAGCCCAGCCTGGACATCTTAGCAACTTAGCTAAACCCTGTCTCAAAATGAAGGGGATGCTGAGGATATAGCTCAGTGTGAACATCTTGGGTTCTATCCCCAGCACTCCCAAAAAAGAGAGAGAAAGAAAAATACAATCTTTGTATCAAATAAAAATTAAATGATTGTTCTTTGAAAGAATGTTTCCAAGAACATCTTTTTTTTTTCTCATTGAGTTTATTGGTACATTTTAGGTATGCAGTACAGTTACATTCATCATTGGGATCTTGTACCTTTATATGACAAGTCTTGGTTCTCATTCCAAGAACATCTTTTTTTTTTCTCATTGAGTTTATTGGTACATTTTAGGTATGCAGTACAGTTACATTCATCATTGGGATCTTGTACCTTTATATGACAAGTCTTGGTTCTCATTCCAAGAACATCTTTTAAATCTAGAAAGTTATTTTTTATTTTTCTGTAAATAAGACTTAAATTTTTTTTTCTTTTTTAGGAAATGCACAGAAAGTCTTTGCATATGTTAACATCAGAGTAGCAGAAGCAGACTTGAAAAAATGTAAGATCATCATATATTTTCTATGCTATTTGTCATTTGGTATCACTGTGTAACTTGGGACAACTTTAGTTCTAAATCTAAATCTCACCATCCTCTTCTGAGTTATGGACATAGTCAAGAGAATTGTGGTATCCTACATCTTTCCAGGTTTAGGTCAATTCCTTTTGTGCCTGTAAACTAGCAGTATATTGCTAGTAAGGTCACTTAAAACCTAGTTTTCTCTAATTTGGACGGGGATAAGTTTTCATAGAATCTCCCTGTTACACATATCCTACTGAATGTTTGGCCACACTCCTCAGTCTGTTCATTTCTTGGACATCTAGTCGTTATTGATAAATATTACTGTGGCAGTAGAGTATTCCCTCAAAAGCCCATCTCTGAAACTGTGCTATCTCTTATTATGAGTTTAAGATGAAGGTGAATGGTGGCCTTTGGTGAAGAAGGAGGGGGACATGATCCACACTGCTGCTGACACAATAATGTATTCTACTTACTTTGAGGTCAAAAAGTCAGAAGAGGGCCGGGGATTTAGCTTAGTGGTGCTGCTGCCTGCCTCGAAAGCACAAGGTCCTGAGTTTGATCCCTGGTATCAAAACGAAAGAGTCTGGGAATAGTGGCTCAGACCTTAGCACTTTATGGAAACTGAGTTGCCAGTTCAGCAAGACCCTGTCTCAAAATTTTAAAAAAATTTTGAAAAAGCTGATGATATAGTTCAGTGGATTGATCTGCTAGTACTGAAAAAAAAATTCAAGAGACTGCTAGACATGTAGAGCCTAGATGTATAAAGCTATAGGTTCAATCTCTAGCACCACCATCAAAAAATAAGTCAAAAGAATTCAAAAGGAACATGCTTTTAGATAGAGGAAGAAGGCCATCTGTCTCTTATCACTTCATTTGCAGAGATTATTGTTCAGTGAGGAAACATGAAATTGTGGTTAAGAACATGTAAGCTCTGCTTACGTGCTACCTATGGCAGGTTAAGAGTCTTGAGCCCCAATTTGCTTATCTGGTAAATGAAATAATACTGCCTCATAATATTACTGTGGTGATTAAGTTAAATAATACATTTGTACTTAGTATAGTACTTATCACAAAATTATGTTAGTGATTACTATTAAGGAAATTGATAGAAAAATCAACTAGAACATAATAATTCAAACGTAGTTTGATCGCTTGTGATTAATTTTAGAGGTTATACAGAGGTTAATTGGTATATGTTGATAAAGGTAAAATACTCCAGGATTTCAAAATTTCTTCAGATTTACCCTGAAAAGATTACACTGTGTTTCATAGTTATAGTATGGGAAATGACAGGCAAATACTTAATAAATGTGAATTATTCACCAAAAGTTCCTCATATTACTTTATAAACAAACTGCAAGTAGGTTTTGCATCTGTGAGATAGGGAACATAAGAAATCATCAGGTAAATGGTCAAGGTAAAATGGGAGCTTGGGCTACATCTCTCTCCAGGTTACATTTTTTTTCTACTTTGTGATAAACAAGACTACTTCCCTTGATATTAAATAAATATAAAAAGCATGCACTGAAGTATATTTTTGTATTTCCATATGCTCTTTTAGGTATGTCCATTTTAAACAAAACAAAATGGAAAGGTGGTACACTACAAATTCAGCTAGCAAAAGAAAGCTTTTTACACAGGTAAGATTGCTCCTCATGGATTTAAACCCCATTTCTTTATATCAATTTTATATATTCACTTACTTTCTTTGAAATTATCAAGTAATATACAGTATTGTTAGCAAATGCCTACAAATAGGACTAAGGTCCCTCTCAAACCTGATCCTCTTTGTCCCAGACCACACCAAAAGAAAATTCAGTGCATTTACCTGTGTATATATTAAACTATAAAAAAAAGGATATCTTCTTTGTTAAGACAGGTTCTTTTCTGGTATACATAAACTTCCCCCTTCTCTGTAATAACTAGCAGTACAATTTCAGAGAAACCATGGAGTAGTTTGTCCCTTCTACTGAGGACATTTAGGCTGTTTCCACCTTTGTATGATTGTAGGTGATCCTGCGCATGTGCAAGTGTTTTTCAGGGATTTATGTCAGCAAGTGGAGTTACAGGGACTGGGAATGTAGCTCAGTGCTAGAATGTTTGACTGGCATGTGTAATGCCTTAGGGTCATTCCTTGGTACCATCAAACAAAAACAAAAAAGAAAATGCTGCTGAATCTTTGGGTTATGTCATATAAAATTTTAATACACTATTGAATTATTTATATTGATTTAGACTAATGCTGTATCATGCAAAGATATAAAGATAGTAAAACATACTTAGAGGAATAAAAGTAATTATGCAAGTAATTTAAGAAAGGCAGTATAACAACCTTTAGAACTTTAAAAAAATCTAAAGGTAAATTTTCAGAGGAAGGATTAGTCTGGGAACTTTCAAATTGGGAAACATGTTAAGAATATATGAATGGAGGGCCGGGGATTTAGCTCAGTGATTCTGCCACCTGCCTTGAAAGCGCAACATCCCAAGTTTGATCCCTGGCACCCAAAAAAAAAAAAAATAGCCTTGCAGGGCTAGGGATTTAGCTCGGTGGTGCCAGTGTCTGCCTCACAAGTGCAAAGTCCCAAATTTGATCTCTGGTACCAAAAAAAAAAAACAACATATGAATGGGGTAACCAGGAAAGTTGACAAAATTGTTTTAGACTAAGTAAGATACAGTCTAAAATAAATGGCAAATAGCTCACGGGCACATTTCAGGTGGCCGGTCTCATGGGAAAGGTAAGAATTTTATTTTGTTTTTCAGCTGGGGGCCTCTGGCTGTGAACATGCACTTTCCATTCAGCAGCATTTCAGTGTGACCATGGGCAGGCCCTGGTACCCTGTGCCCAGCGGGGAGAGCACATGGTGCTGCTGTCTTGGAGCATGTGTGTAAATGTGCTGGAGGATCATGGCTAGGAAGGGAAAACTGGGAGACAGAGCAGAGGCAAAGAGACCAGTATGGACTGGTCAGAGCAGTTGTGCAGGCCTGAATGAGTTGGGGGTAATGAACTGGAAGGTTGAAATGGCATTCTCTGCATTAGGAGAGCAGAAACTATCAAAACAATTTAGGCTCAATAAAGACATGTCTTTCTTATAGGCAGAAGTAAAGCTAGGGAAGATAACATAAAATGCCAAAAGTTCTTAAATTGAAAAAGGAAAATTGGGGGAGTTTTTGATTAGTAGTCTTGGTTTTCCATCAAGGGGAACTAGGACATCTGCTGGAGCAAAGCAAAGATGTCAGGGCCTGGAAAGCCCACTGGAGAGGGAAAGTCAGGAAGAGAGAAGCCTCCATGCTCAGCCCTCAACTGCTAAGTCAGTTGGAAATAAAGTAGACCTACATGGTGCATGTTGTAGAGGAATCCTTATTTCCCTACCAGGGGGTGTTAGGTGTGAGAGTACATGTGGGTCCCAAGTGTGCCTTTGTAATATGTGGATAATTGGTGTTTTTTTATGTAATATCCTCTGTGCTATTTTTGGAATTCATAGTTGTTTTAAATATCCTTCTCATTTTGTCTTTTCTCTCTTTTTCTCATTGATAACTATTTTTTCATTGTCACAAAGTTGGGGATGTTTTCAAAGAAAGTATAATGAAAATTTTTGAAACTTTATCCAATTAGGGCCGGGGATTTAGCTCAGTGGTTCAGTGGCCTGCCTTGCAAGCACAAGGACCCGAGTTCAATCTCTGGTACCAAAAAAAAAAAAAAAATTATCCAAATATACTTACAGGATTATCTATATTACATTTTAAAATGTATATATGTATAGAACAAAGCTGAGGTAACTACACAAAAATTTAACAATAGGATGTGAGATAAGGAAACATACTTTGTTTTCTTCATGTTCCCATGTTTTCGATTTATTCTACAATGAAAATGTATGCTCAGAAAATAATATAAGCCTTTATGCTGCTCACATTCTACTTTTAGTTTTTAATACTATAAGGCTGTTTACAGAGTTTAGACTCAATTGAAGGGAACAAGACAGGTTCTATGATTGGTCATTTTAACTTTAATGTATATTTTCCCTTTGATTCAGACTGGCCCAAGAGAGAGAAGAAGCAAAAGCAAAGAAAGAAAAATCAACAACAGGCAACACCAACCTGTTGGAAAAGATGGGAGGAGTGGATTTCCATATGAAAGCTGTTCCAGGCACAGAAGTACCAGGGCACAAGGTGAGTCTCCTCTGGTATCCTGAGCCAACCCAGTAACTGACACTTGAGACCACTTGACGATGCATGTCTGCCTAAACCTAGTTGTTTTCTTTTTCTCCCCTCTTACTTTGAAGTAGTTAACATAGATACTGCTTCATGGTTCTCAAATTGTATTTGCAACTTACATAATCATAGCTCTATGCCATTTTAAAGAGAGAAAAGTGAAAGCTCAGGCAGATGCTGTCTACCAAGGGGTGCAGATGTGAGAAGTTCAGGTAGGTTCCAAGTTAGCCTTTGTAATACGTGGATAACTGGTGTTTTTTGTTTTTTTTTTTAATTGCCATATAAGAAATTATTATACCATATTTTGGGGGAATAACTACAAAGAAAAAAGTCAGTACATATTCAGTACAGACACAATTTTTTGTGTTTTTTTAAGAGTAGGAAAAATTTATTGAAGGAAAGAAAGCTTCTGTCTAAGACAGAAGGGGGACTGGAAAGTGGGTTGCCCACCCACCCCACTTCTCCATGATGTTTTATACAGCAAAGCCATGTGGTGAGGCAGGTACAAAATAGGACAAAACTATAAGACCCAGTGGAAAATTACAAGGTGGGCATGAGGTGGCACAAAACCATGACCAACTAATAAGATTACAAGTACATTCACCCAGGTAATATGGATTAAGTGGTGGTAAAATGGGAGAGCAAGACACGTAGCAAGCATACACGAATTGTCCATAAGGGTGGAAGTCAAGGTTATTTCCTGGAAAGGCTGGGTTAAGATCTTGGCCCCCCACCAGACAAAATCTTTTTAAAGTATTTTTGATCCACTGTTGGTTGAATCTGTGGATGTGGAATTTATGGATATGGAACCTGTGGCTAGATGGCTGAGTGTATAGTGGATGCTCTGGTGTACTACTCACGGCCATGTCCCCATCCTTCCAGGCCTTGAAGCGCTGGATTAACCTCAGCCTCTGAGAGGGCTTTACCCATCTCTGGGAAGTGCCCTTGACTGAGAAGAGCTACTTTCCTTAAGATTGCACTCTTTTGGGATCCACCAATATCCCGTGGATGGTCTATTTGGGAATATAAATGCCTAGGCCATTCACCAGTTTGGGACAGCTCTCAAGGGCCACTCCAGCTTCAGAACAATTCAGTGGAATTGACTGAGGCCTCTTGTGTGAGTTTCCTGTTCTTGATTGTTTTAACAACTAACTATAAGGTGGTGGCTTAAAATAACACCAATTTTTAAACATTATTGTTCTTGACGTAAGCAGTTTGAAATGGATCTCATGGTTTAAAGTAAAAAGTGTCAGCAGAACCCCATTCTTTCTGGAGGCTTGGTATTTTTTTATGTAATATTTTCCATGCTATTTTTGAAATTCATAGTTGCTCTAAATGTCCTTTTGTCTCTTCTCTCACACTTTTTCTCATTGATAACTATTTTTTTCATTGGCACAAAACTAGGCCCAACAGTAATAACAGCCCACTATGAATTCAACCTTTTTAAACATTATATCTGTGTATTATTAATTTGTTTATATTTGAGAAATATATTGTATATTGTAAATACATTCTGTTTTCTCTCTTTTCTTTAGAATTGGGTTGTCAGTAAATTTGGAAGAGTCTTACCTGTTCTTCATCTTAAGAATCAACATAAACGTAAAATATCCTTTGTGATTAGCTTTTCAGTAATTTTTACCAGTCTGATAGATCCTTGCAAAATACATTTATAATTGTACTCCTTTGATTAATGAATTGTTGGATATTGATTTAAAAATTTGTATTAAAAAATTTTGTGTTTTCCCACTTTCTAGGCAAGGTTAGATCTTCTTACCTACATGTATAAAGCAGCATTATGAGAGAATGTCATGAAGTTTTATAAAATTAAGAAATATGAAGTAATGGGGCCAGGGTTTTACCTCAGTGGTGCTGCACCAGCCTTGCAAATGCACGGTACTGAGTTCAATCCCTGGTACCAAAAAATAATTAAAGAAAGAAATATGAAGTAAGAAATACAAATGATGAATGCCAGCAAAGCAGTTTTACTTATGACTTTATTATACATCTTGTTGCATGGGAATTCGCAACAATTGCTAATGGAGCTATATAGGGGTGAAAGAACAAGGGCCCCTTGTTAAAGAAGGCTTTAGAAGAACTGAGGTGGTTTTCAAATTACTAGAAAAGTTAGTAGGAAGTAGCTAGGCATAGTGGCACAGACATGTAATGTCAGCACTGTGGGAGGCCAAGACAAGAGGATCTCAAATTTGAGCCCAGACTGGGCAGTTTAGTGATTTAACAAGACCTTCTCTCAAAGTGAAAAATTAAAAAGGGCCTGGGTTGTAGCCCATTATGAAGGTTCTGGGTTCAATCCCCAATTAGCCCCCCCCCGCCATACACACACAAAACAGTTGTAGGGGCCAGGGATTTAACCCAGTGGTTCCACCACGTGCCTCGCAAGCACAAGCTCCTGAGTTCAAACCCTGGTACCAAAAAAGAGTGGTAGAAATTAGCCCTAGAAAGAGGAAAATAGAAAACATTACATGAAAATATTCAGGCCGGCAGGAGGATGGTGGACAGAGAGATAATGTTGAGAGAATATTGAAACCAGGCAAAACCTGATCAATGAGACCAGGTTGTCTGAGACCTTGTAGAGGTGATGTCATGGCCTTCTGTGTAGAACGTATGTATACATTATCAGAGTTTGCTATATGTTGTATATAGTCTGTTGTAGGTTTTTATTTTTTTATTTTTTTGGTACCCAGGATAGAACTTGGGACCTTGCACTTTCGAGGCAGGTGGTGGAACCACTGAGCTAAATCCCTGGCCCTTATATACAGTCTTAAGTTCTGCCAAATGGTGGTAGTAGTGCCTGGTTTTAACTCTGTAAAAGTCAGAGAGAGCTGGGGTTTTGGCTCAGTGGTTCCACTGTCTGCCTCACAAGCACAAGGGCACGAGTTCAATCCCTGGTACCAAAAAAAAAGTCATAGCGAGCTCCATTTCATTGACCCTGAAGGGTTACTAGAGGAGTCCTCATTTGATAATCTTGGTAGAAATTTGAGAGTAAGATGAAATGAAATTAAGCACTATTCTTTTTTGTTTCACCAGATTAATCTATTTCCCTAACACTTAAGTGCTTTTGCTTTGTTCCTTGACACTGGGTAACATCATGAAATATGATCCATCAAAATACTGCCACAACCTAAAGAAGATAGGGGAGGATTTCACAAATACCATTCCTGTAACTCGCCTCACTTGGGAATTAGAAGGAGGCAATGACCCTAGGAGTAAGAAACGGCGAGGAGAGTTCTCTGACTTTCTCAGTCCTCCCAAGAAGATCATGAAAGTACAAAAGAGCCAGGGTTCCACTGTGAGTCTAAGGACCAGTTTGGTAATGGAGAATAACATATCACCACAGCAACGAGCTGGACAAAAAACATCTCATGATTCCATTACTCTTTCTAAATCACACCCTGTGCTTGATTCTGATGCTCACAAACTTAAAAATATACTTTGTCAGACTTCTAGCTTGGAAACTGTCAGGAATAGAAATAGCATGTCTGACGATGATATTGATTCTGAAGATGAATTAAGAAAGATGATTGCAAAAGAGGAAAGCTTACAGAGAACCTCAAGGTCCTCCATCAATGACTCTGATCCCTTTGAAGTTGTAAGGGATGATTTCAAATCGGATGTTCATAAACTTCATTCTTTATCAAGTGTGTGTATGAATAATGTCTCTTGCTGTGTTAGTGAAAATATGGAAAATGATTGTGAATATGATTCAGGTGATACAGATGAAATCATTGCAATGAAAAACATCAGTAAGGTAAAAAACAGTGCAGAGTTTTCTCAAAAAGAAAAATCTATAAGCAAGAAATCTTTAAAAAATAAAGAGCTTTTCAATCATTGTAATAAAGTACAAAAAAGAAAAAACAACAAACAATCAGCCCTCAGTCATGGAGTGAAGCCTATTAATCATGATCCTCTGTCTGATTCCAGCAGCAGGGACAATGAGGAGTCTGAAGGAGATGAAGAATATAAAGCCATGATAAAAAACTGCCCCTGTGTTAATCTCACATTGGCTGATTTGGAACAGCTAGCTAGCAGTAATCTGGAGGTTCCAAAAGATACTGAGAGCAGTGGCCCACAGCCTACCATAAGTTGCAAGTTTGCTAGAGCTTCCAAGAGCCCCAAGACTTCCCGTGGAATCTACACAGGCAAACAGTGCATTTGTCCTGAGGAGATTCTGGCTTCCCTTTTAAGGGAGGAAAACACCTTTGGTAAACAGAAACCACAGGAAGATAAAAAGCCAAAATTTCAGGCATTCAAAGGAATAGGTTGTCTCTATGGAAAGGAATCAATGAAAAATACCTTGAATATTGCCTCAAATAGGATTAATGAAAAACAAGGTTCCTTGAAACATGAAGATTCCAATAGCATTTCCATAGAAAATGGGCTGCCACGTGCTAATGGCTCACCAATCAAATTAACTTCATGCCAACATACAAAGAAGACAAGTGGCCTAAATCACATTGAACCTCAAAGACAGTTAACTTGTGAGACCCAAGATCACAAGGTAGTCTACCCAAACAGTTCAGAAAAGGGAACTAGAAATCTTATTTCTAGTCTGTTGCCTTTAAAAGGTAAGAAATCCTTAAGTCTTAGTGCCAAGATTCACAAGATAGGGTTTGATAAGGATAATTGCCACGGTGCCCAACAGAGAAAAGAGTCTTCAGAGGAAAAGGAGCCTGATTCCAGCAGCCTCATATCTCGTGTGAAACCACCAAAGCGCTCTTCCAGGGAAGACACTCAGGAGAGCCTGGCTGACTTCTCACTTGCTGTTAGTAGTTCATCAAGCATAGATGCTAAAGCTAAGCCTGCTGAAGATAATCAGAAGCGTTTGGCAGCCTTGGAGGCAAGGCAGAAAGCAAAAGAAGCGCAGAAGAAGCTGGTACATAACGCACTGGCAAATTTAGTAAGTATATTTTCAATGCATGCGTTTTATAAAAACACTTAAAAGTCCAGGTTTTCCTTCCCACAAAGGTGTCCCTCGTAGTGTTCACCACTTTGCAGGTTGTGTGTCTTTGAATTAGAAGAGTCTTTCACCCTGAGTATCTACTGCATCCCAAAGGAAATGAGATACTTACAGAAAACATTTTAAATTTATCTTAAATTTTAAGGTCTGGGAATATAGCTCAGGTACATCATTTGTTTAGCATGCATCCAGCTGTGGGTTTTATTCCCATTACACACACAGACACACAAATATCCCCCAAAATTTCTTCATCATTTTATCATTTCCCTGCCCCCCCCGCTTCAGTTCTGGACATTGAACCAGAGCCTTACATAGCATCCCTAACCTTTTTTTTTTTTTGTGTCACTAAGTTGCCCAGGCTGGCCCTGGGCTTATACTCCTTTGTAGGCCTACAAGTAGTATTTTGATTATTTTCATTTAGAAATTCTTAGCAAGTACAATGATTACAAGCTGACTTGTGACTTGCCAGAGCTTGGTAATATTTACTATAATGAGCCCATGTACTTTGCTCTAACAGTTGCGTCCACTTTACATGCTTGATTGACATCACAGGGATGATGATCCTGCCTTTCATGCAGCTGTTGGCTCATAGTGTGGTGAGCAGTCATTCATAGTTTAGACCAGTGGGACAACAAGCTGGTCAGAGTGCTTGCTAAGCTTTTAGACATGTGGAAGGGTAAGATGGAATTCATGGCAAGTGAGCAGGAAGGATGAAGAAAGATGTTCTAAGAAAGGGAAGCAGTTTGCATAAAAGTAAACATTTCTGTCAGTAAGACTGAGACTTGTAGACTGTGAGGTAACAAGAAGTGAGGCCAGAGTGATAAATAGGGCTGAGTTGTGGAGTGCCTGCACAGATTGGACTTCATTCTTAAACATGAAAAACAGTCATGAAAAAACAGTGAAAATTTTAAGCACTGAAGATTACCTGTGTACATTTCAGAACAGGGTGGGAAACCAGTTCTCAGGCCATCTGGTCCATGCCTTGTTTATGTACTGCCTTCAAGCTTAGAATGGTTTTTGAATACAGGACAGGGACTATATGTGGATTGCAGAGTCTAAAACATTTATTCTTTGGCCCTTTAAAGAAAAAGTTTGTCACCCTCTGGGAAAGATCCTTCAGGTCATGATGAAAATAAATTGAATGGGTCAAATCGAGAGACCAAGAAAGACTTCAGGAGGTGGAAGGCCAGAACCAAAGAAGCAGTGGTGCAAATAGATTTAAAGATACTAAGAAAGTTGGATTGAGAGGACTTGGTGATCACTGGATATGGACAAAAAAAGAATCCTAAGTTTTGGTCTTAGACAAATAGCAAATGATAATGGCACACTCCCTAGATAAGAATGGGAAGGAGGGATGGGGGTCTGGGAAATGATGGGATTGGACATGTTTCAGTGTGAGGTTGAGTTGTCTTAAATTGTAGTGCTTCTAATGGCCTCCCTAGGATGGACCTTCACAGGACAAGCCAACACACATCATCTTTGGTTCTGACAGTGAAAGTGAAATGGAGGCGACATCCACTCAGAAGCAAAACCTGCCAGGAGAAGAACTTGTAAAAGTAAGATGTACCTGATGGGGACCCTTTCAACTGCATGTGGCCTTCAGTCCTTTCAGATGATGTGGTTCACGTGATACTGGACAGAGGAAGGACTTGATGTACATTATTATTACCCCCCTTGGCTTCCATTTTGGGAGATGGTATAGTCTAGCAATTGAGTAAACAACTGAACAGGCAGATTGGGGTTTGAAGGGGCAGGTCAATCTCTAGTTAGCTGTGGAACCCTGAACAAATTATTCAATCCTTTTGAGCTTCTGGGGACATTAATAGCACTTACCTTCTAAGTGGTGGTTGTTACTACTAAGGGAGTGGGTCATTTGTAAACTTAGCATAATAACTGGCATATAAATATTCAGGACATGTTAGCAAAAAAAAAAAAAAAAAAAAAAGTAAGATGTACCAGATGTCCCTGAGGACATTTGCCTACTTTGCAGATCCACATCTGTCCCATTCTAAGACCTCCATAAAATGGCCAGTGCAACCTAGAATCCTGGGAGCTGTGATAAGACCCAGGTCTGCCCCAGCCACTGCACACTGCGATGACAGGGTCCTAGAGATCTTAGCCCACATACTCCATGTTTTCTACGTCATCTGCAAAGTCGCATCAATTTAGTGAAAGATGCCAGGGACTGGTCTTGTGTGTTACATCTGCCCCTGAAATTCATCTGGCATTGAAGAGTCCATAAAAGCCAGTTAGTGAGCCCTGAGTCAAAAGTTCCCATCTAGCTGGGTGTGCATGCCTGTAATCCGAGCACTTGGGAGGCAGAGGCAGGAGGATCACCTCGAGTTCAAGGCCAGCCTGAACTACATGCTGACACCCTGTCTCAAAAATTAAAAAGAGTTGCCATCCACTACATCTTGCTTGTTCTTGATATATTTATCTGGATTGTTTTTAAATGTGGTTAAGACTTCACTATAAAATAAATACTGATTGCCTTGGTTAATAAATGTTTCTCTTTTCATGTAAATAATAGGAATCCATGGGTAAAGCATCTGGGAAGCTGTTTGACAGTGGTGAAGATGAGGAATCTGATTCTGAGGATGACAGTGACAGGTTCAAAATTAAACCTCAGTTTGAGGGCAGAGCTGGACAAAAGGTTAGTGAAGACTAAAAGCTGAAAATCTTGTAGCATGTCCTTGTTTTCTATAGTCCTTAAATCTAGGTAAATGTAGGCAGGTCTAGCTAGGCCTACATTATAGGGTTGGATATTTCTTTGGGAAGGGAATCACATGGGAAAGATTCTAATTGGCTCATGGGCAGGTGATATTATGCAAATGATATTGATGTGAATTTCAGGGCCTGGGGAGGTACACTTGGAGTCTTCCTTAGAAGCAATTTCTTGGGAATGTGGTTGTCAATTGTGTTTACTTATTATCTGTGTAGCTCATGGATTTACAGTTGCACTTCGGCAGTGACGACAGATTCCGCATGGACTCCAGATTTCTAGAGAGTGACAGTGAAGAGGAACAGGAAGGTAATTGCTTCATTGTTCAAAAGGTCTTAATGTCAGAACTAGACAGGTGAGAAATCTCCTTCATTAAACACAAGAAACTCTACACCTGAGACATTGAAAAGTTTGTAACCAAATGTTTACAGTTGATATTTCTTGTTTCTCTCACATATTACTTAGTAAAATTTAATTCCTTGAGGCAGACAAGTAAGACAGGTATAGATAACATCCACCAAACTTACAGTTTCTTCTGTTTCACTCCTGGTGGGAAGTTGTGGTCCCTGGGAATCTCTCAGTAGTGTGGCAGGTTCTGGTGGAGGGTATGGAGGATGGTTGTCACCCTTGGCTTTCTAATAGGAAGAGTCTTTTGTCTTCTGTACCAGTAAATGGAAATTCTGACAGGCACCCAGGACTTGGAGGCAGAAAGCAAACTTTATTTATGTTGATGGTCCTGGTTGGGATAATTGCTAAGAGGACCAGAAAACTGTCTTTTGTCTGTCTATAGTTTATATAGGTGTTAGATTTCCCTTGCCTTAAGTTGGCTGTTACATAAAATAGCAGCCTCCTCCTTCCCATAATGCTCTGTACTTTAAGATGGCTGCCACATGGAATAGCAGCCTCCTTCCCATAACACCATGTTAAAATATGGCTTCTCCCACCAAAGGACAGCCTTCGCAACATGCTCCTCTTTCTGCCACAAAGGTAACCTGATACTTGCTACCTCCTAGCAACTAGTGATTTCACAAGCCTTCCTAGTGATGTCACAGGCTCCTCCAATCCCTTAATATTACCTCACTTAAGTCCACCCCACCTCAGGCTAACCCCACCCCGCTCCTATAAAAGAAGCTCCCTGTTGTACCATGTTGCGTTCTCTCTTTTGTTAAGAGAGAGTCTGGCACGTCTTCCCATAATAAAGGCTTGTTATGGTCCTGGTCTGGTCCTGGTTTTCAGCTCTTTTTACCTAACAATAGTATTCACAAGCTGGAACTAATACACAAGCAGAACAAGCAGTTCATTGGTTGTGTGTACTATTATTACTTATTAGTCTACAGCAAGTTCAAACTCAGGGTTAGAAACATTAATTTTAGGGTAAGGTCAGCTAGACAAGGGAGACATATATTTGGAGTATGCATCAGTTCAGGGTAGTGTCTGCCAAGGAGGAGCAGATAAGGAAGACGTGTACGTACAGTGGGTATCATATGGAGTGCATTACATTCCAGAAGGGAGTTACTGAGTTACACTCTTGTTGGTACTAATAGGTTACATGGGGAGTTACGTGCCTGGCAGCACTAACAAGAAAACATGTGCTTAACTAATCATTCATTATAGACTACAGGACCATGGAGTTACTAATTCCACTTTCAGATTAACCCTTATCAAACTATTCCTTTTCACTTCCACTGGTGTGCATGCTGGGTACATGTTTTTTAAAAAGCAGTGTACCATTGGCCAGGGATTTAGCTGTGATGCTGCCATCTGCCTTGCAAGTGCAAGGTCTTGAGTTCCATCCCTGGTACCCCCCAAAAAAACAGTGTACCATTCAGTGCCATTGAATTCATCCTTATTTAGATGTACCTGAGTGGATTGATTCTATTAGAAGTACCTTAATTCTACTTCCTGTGGCATTTTCCACAACTCCACATTATCTATAAAATACTTCCTGCTAGGTGTAATGATGCATGTCTGTAATCCCAGCACACAGGAGCCTGAGGCAGGAGGATTTCAATCAGTTCAAGGCCAGCCTGGGCTACATAGCAAGAACTTGTCTCAAAAAAAAAGATTTTTATCTCCTACATGGCTACCTTGAATAACCTCTACAGATCCCTCTGGTAATCTCGGAACCTCTATCCTTGTCTTCTTTTGTATTTTCTCTCCTTCCTAGGTTCATCTCATTTGCCTCTTAATTATCACCTCATTTGTGCTGCCATCACTCTCTTTCTCAGATAGTTTCTAATGAGTCTGTTGATTCTTTTAGGAAACCAAGGTTCAGAGAGGCTTACAGTAAGTTTTGCATGGTCCTCACCACCTTATGTATCTAACCCGACACTTGACTTCAGATCTTCCACTCAAAACCCATGTGGAAAGCGCAAGAATGAGCAGAACCTCAAGAAGAGTAGTTAAAGATAGTGGTTACTTTGCTAACTCCAGCCTCTTGTCTTTTCAACACCGAGAACAACCTCTCATGTTGTCTCTCATGTCTTTTCTTTCCCAACTTTTTTTCCTTTCTATTTTTCTCCTTCCCAACTTTTGAGGCACAATTTTGTGTATCCCACAAATAAAAAGCACAGCCAGACTGCATCACCTCCACCCTTCTTATCATTATATTCCACTTCCCAAATGATTGCTATTAGGTTAAAATTGAAGTTGCTCCTTTTGCAAGCTAAAACTGTTGACTATTAGCATTTTCATGTTTCACTTTTATACAGTGTAAACTCCTGGCCATTTTGTTCCTTTGGTGTATGTGTTTCCTTTGTTGCCTGTGTGCCTCCTCCCACTTCTGAGGATCTGCTCCATCTCTCCTGCCTCATACTCCACCTGAAGTATAAAGCATTTCTCAGTTGAGTAGTCTACCTCCATTGAACCCCTAGAGATTATTGGGCCTTCTCTGTAAAAGCTGAAACATTTTATTCTAGTTAGTTAGTTATTTATATTCTGCAGTAAACTAAGGCTTTTAAAATCTTGGTTTTCTTCCATATATCTATTATCCAAACTATATCTTTAGCTTTATACTCTGATATTTGTCTATTTTTACTAGTTGAGAGTAGCAGCTTATGAAGTTCTATTATACCTTCAGAATATCGGGTATATGGCTTTTTTTTTCTGCAATACTCAGGACTGAATCAAAGACTGAAGTAATTGTTTATGCAAATTTTATTCAAATATAAAATTGACAGTAAGTTTATTCTTTGCCTACCCTTATCATTTTTAGACTTCATATAGAGTGTGTGTGTGTGTGTGTGTGTGTATATATATATATATTTTTTTTTTTTTTTTTTTTTTTTTTTTGGGGGG